TCTGAAACCAAGAAGCAACACTTTCCTTTCCTCCACAAACAGCATACCAAACACACCTAGTATATGTGTACCTACCTAAGAATTAGCCTGCCCTACATGGCATCCTACTTATTACTTAAATATATAAAAACATTTTTAATTTTGGATTTACCGCCCTTTAAACCTACGCAGGGACAAGGGGCCGCAGTCGGGCTAAAACTAATTTTTAATCCCTCACTTTACAAAATTAGTAGATTTTAACCCCTAACCTTATAATATGACACTTTTAGTCATTTACCTTATAAAAGTTAGTAGTTTTAACTCCTTACCTTACAAAATTTGTAGGTTTTAGCCCCTCACCTTATATTATGGCACTTTTAATGCCTTATCTGTACGAATTAAAGAAAATAGTTTTTATTTAACATCAAGTTTTAATATTCTATTAGTTCTGTTAGCTGATTGTCAATTCTGTTAGTTGACTGTCAGTTTTATTAATTAACTGTCAGTTTTATTAATTAACTGTTAGTTTTATTAGTTGACTGTTAGCATCCGTTAACATTTCATTAATGAAACTAATAAATAAAATTGAATTTAAATTTCATATTTTTTATAACAAAATACTAACAGATATTAACAGTCAACTAATAGAACTAACAAAACGTTATAACCTGATGTTAGGTGAGGGTTATTTTCTTTAATTCGTATCGGTGATAGGCTAAAAATATCATAATATAAGTTAAAATGTTAAAACCTACCAACTTTGTAAAGTAAGGAGCTAAAACTTATCAACTTTATAAGATAAAAGATTAAAACTGTCATATTATAAGGTGAAAGATTAAAACTTATCAATTATGTAAGGTGAGGGGCTAAATATTGGTTTTTGCCCTGCAACCATCGCTCTCAACCTTTGAAAAATGCTAAATATGGTATATTAATTTTTGCTCTTTTTTTTGTAAAATTTTATTTTAAAAGTTTAAGTTATAGGGGGACAAATTCAAAAATATTTAAAGAAGGCATTTATTAGGAACTAAGAAAATGGATCATTGCATTAGGTCCTTCCGGTCAAGTGACTTTCAGCCACTTTGAGGTGCACCCCCCTTCCTCTTTCGACGGCACTCCATGACAACAATGTTCAAAAAAAAAAAAAAAGTAAATGGATCATTTTTTTGTTTGTAACTAATTTTTAAGATATGATAATTTAATTTAAGTAAAAAAAAACATTTGAAAAGAGTCAAGACTTAATTATATTGGTGTAATTTATATAAGTTTTTATATTAATCATTGAGTTAAGTTCCACCAATACATAAATTTTACATATTACATTTTACATTTATACAAAATTTTAATCATCCATCTTTATACTTTTAATAATTAAATTTTATTTATTTTTATCACATTTATTAAAAATAATTATATTTTTATTTTAAAAATAGTAATAAATTTGAATTATTAAAAATAAATAAATAATT